ATCCTAAATTTGATATTTGAGTGGAGAGCGCAAATGATAATTAATTTTGAGATATCCTTGATGACACCTACATGACCTCATTACTAACTCAACCTTGCCATCCTATCCTGGTTTAGAATGTCCAACCAATCCCACAAACCCAAGTTGGAAGTCCATAACAAAGAATTTCGTGTGTGCACAAGAAAGAAAAATTTTGAGCAGGTGGAAGATAACTTCCAATAACAGAACTACTCAGACCAAAAATCGAGTTCACATTCATCGGAAATTTTGGGTTCGGAGGAGTCTAGTACTCATGAGTTATTTTTTTTCTGTTCTGATTTTGGTGACAAGAAACGACATTAAATATCCAATTTAGGAATATGTAGGTTATGAGAAACTATCATCATCCTATAAAACTTTTGTTTCTAATATTGATAGTGCGCAGATTCTTAAATCCATTCATGAAGCTCTTGTAAAACCAGAATGGAGGAAAGCAGTTGAAAAGGAGATTCGAACACTGGAGTGTAATGACGCATGGATTTTTATCAAACTCCCTTAGGATAAGAAACCAGTTGGATGCAAGTGTGTTCAACATCAAATACAAAACTGATGAGGATATTGAGAGATTTAAATGCAGACTTGTTGCAATTAGTTTCACTCAAGTCTGTGGGATTAACTATCAGGAGACTGTTACTGGTGCCTAAGGGCAAATTTTTCTTCTATTAGTCTAAGGGCAATTTAGTCTTTTATTTTTATTATTGTTGGGGTTAATATGTTCAGGGTTGAGGTTATGCTGGAGGTTGTCTGGAGTTTTAGGGTTAGTGTTTGAGACAGGTTTCCTACCTCTTGCATTTTACGATTTGAGAAATATTGTCTACCTCTTGAATTTTAATATTTGTGCTCTACCGTTATTTCTATGACGATTCCTATTAAATTGGTTTGAAAGCTTTAGGCTCTATAAAAATTATAAAATTTTGCCGCGTTCACGACCTAGTCTCGCAATACATTTGATCACAAATTAGTTGGGAATAAACTACAGATCGTTGCATAACTCATGTTGCCCAAAATTGCATATAGTCGTGATAAGAGATAGCTGGAAGCAGATGTCGGATCATGATACAATCACGATAAGAGGTAGTTGGGAAGTGGCTAACGGGATCATGATATAGTCGTGATACGAATTGCCTAGGAAACGATTATGAGATCGACGTGATCTGGCAGCTCTTGTGATTCAATCACGATCGAGATCAGAGCAAGTTGAGAAGACTGTCGGTTGTGCGATACAGTCGCATAAAGAGCTAGTTTGGAGTGATGACAGGATTGCGTCTTTCGCCTTCGGCTATTCCCGTCCCTCTCCAATCATACTGGATCGAGGGGTAGCTTCGTGAGACAGTGAGATTTGGTTGCCATTTGAGACAGCTGGGAAGTGGGATCCGCAACGTACATGAAATCTGATTGTGTGAGGCCGAACATTAAGGTCTCAACGTCCATATAGTAGGTCATGGCAGCCGTAAAGTTGATGCTTTGGGGGAGAAATTAGAAAAAAGTGGTGAGCCAAATAAAATCTGGAATGGAGAAGCGTTTCTATTTAATATAAGAAAAATTTTAGTCCATTGAGACACAATTTTCATCCATGGAGGAAGGATTGACGACCCTACAAGAAATGATGAAGAATATCGTGGAGTTTCACACAAACTAGCTGCCTTTTAAATCAAGGCTGAGTGAAGGAATTAGAAGCAGCTTCGAACGACAATCATTAGAAGGAATAACTTGACGTCGGCAGGTGTTATGTAAATTAAGGGCTGTAGATGATCAATTCCAAGGATTTTGGTCTGAAATAGGGAACCATGGTGGGTGGGACCCTGGCCGAGGGTCGCATCCAATCACATCAGTACCTTTCGGGTAGAGGGCGATTTATAAACTTATGGGGACGAGCAAGCTGATTTGTAGGCAAGCCGAGCTTATGGAAGAAGAAAAGTCAATATATGTTGAGGAATAAAACCAATTCCTGCTTTATGGGTGGAATGATTTTCAGTTAATGAAATTCAGGAGGAGACGCACTCATAAGGAAGCTGAAGATGTTGATTTTTGAAGGAGAGGATGCCTGTAGTTGGATTTATCATGCGAAAAGATCCTTTGTTATTAGTGGTTTGACAAAAAGAAAAATTGATGGCGGCGACCCTGTGTTTGGAAGGGAAGGATTTGCATAGTAAAAATTGAGAGAACAACACCAACTAATCAAAACATGGAAAGAATTCAAGTGCTGATTGTTGAAGTGCTTTAGAACCACGTGTAAAGGAGATTTACATGAGTATTTTTTTTGCATTGATCCAAGAAGGGTCTGTCATGGAGTATAAAGATCAAATTGATTCTATCTGGCCATTGGAAAGGGATATAAGAAGTATTGGAAGAAAACTTTATAAAAGAGTTGAAATAAGAGATTCGAGGAACCCTTCGTCTGCTGAGTTCACGAGGATCGGGGGAAACTATAGAATTAAAGCAATTGATTAAAGATAAAAATGCAATTGAACGCCCTAATTGGAGCAAAACAAGTGGAGCGCCATATAAAAATGCTACAACCACTACATTACCAAAAACTTAGACTATGGTAGGAAGGGGATTTACACGAGCTGTCTTTTGTATTGATCCATCATGGAGATTAGAGAGTAAGTTGAGATGCTATTCGACCGTTTGAGAGGGATATCGAAAGATGTGTTGGAAGTAAAAGAGTTGAAGCCAGAGATTCAAGCATCCATTTGTCTATTGAGATCGTGAAAATTGGGGGAAACTATGAAATTAGCTCAGTTGATTCAAGATAATAATGCATTTGAACGGTATAATTGGAGCATCATAAGTGAGCGTCATATCAAAATGCTACAACCACTTCTAATAACTGAAATTGTGGAAGTTTAGAGGGAGGCTTCACAGGATATGAATAATCGACCACGACCGAGGGCGACATTTAAACTTCCTACAGAGACAGATTTAGGAGAAACGAGCAAAGAGGTTTTATTCTCAGTGTTATGAAATGTTTGCCCCATGATACCATTGTAAGGAGCAGACATTTTCATGTTCTCACAGTGTGTGACGAGAAGACACAAGAGTTTGATCCAACAACATTCTATTTTATCCATTTTGAAGAGAACGTACTACTTTGGGAGGGGAGTATTGTTACATAGGAGCCTAAGAGAAATTTTGTCTTTTATTAGCTTAAGGGCAATTCAGTCTATTATTATTTTTATTGTTGGGTATAAATAGGATTAATATGTTTAGGGTTGAGGTTATGTAGGAGATTGTGTCTGGAACCTTGGGGAGAGATTTCCTACCTCTTCAATTCTAGGATTTTGGAGAGATCACATACCTTTTGAATTGTAGGTTATGATTCATGTATTCGAGTTGTGTTATTTTACTTTAGTTGAATACAATTTGTGATTTACTTTAGTTATGATTCATTGCGAAACTAAATACTATTAGAGTTTTTTTTCAGTAGCAATTAACAAGGAATGTGGATTGCATCAACTTGACATAAATAATATCTTTCTGAATGGGGATCTGAAAATTCTATTTGGAGATACCACTAGGATTTGAGAATGATTACAAAAAAACGCCACATTTGTAAACTCGGGAAATCTCTCTAGAGGCTTATGCACTCACCAATAGCATGGTTTGAAATGGTTGTTAAATTTATGAGATCTAAAGAATATTTTCAAGGTCAAACTGATCATACTCTGTTCATAAAGCACACTTAGGGAGGTGAGATTATTGCACTGATAGTATATGTAAATGATATGATTCTTGCAGGTGATGATGAAAGAGAGACTCGAGATTAAGGAAGTTCTTGTTACTGAAAAGCAAGGACATGGAAACCTTTAGATGTTTTCTAGGTATGGAGGTAGTAAGTTCCAAGAAAGGCATCATTATATCACAGAGAAAATATATCCTAGATTTTCTAAAGGAGACAAGGATGATTGGATGCAAACTTGCTAATACTCCAATGTATCAGAACAAGAAGTCTAATAGACGAGAAGGGAGTGTATCTGTGGATAAGGGAATCTATCAAAGATTGGTTGTAAAACTCATATACCTATCACACACGAGGCCAATACATGCATAACATAAATGAAGAGCATTTGGAGATGGTGTATAGTATTTTGAGATTTCTTGAGAAGATTCTTGGTAATGGATTAATTTTCGAGAAAACTAGAGGCAGAGAGGTAGAAGCCTACATTGATGCAAGTTGGGCTGGGGAATTCACTGACAAAAGGTCCACCAAAGATATTGCTCTTATATATAGGGAAATCTAGTTACTCGAAGGAGCAAGAAGTAAGCGGTGGTTTCTAGAAGTAGTGCTGAATTAGAGTGTTAGGTTATAGCCTTAAGAATTTGTGAATGGATTCAAAAGTTATTAAAGGAATGGGGTACACCTTCAATAGGCCAACAAAAATGTTTTGTATCAGTATTGCCAAGAATTCAGTGCATCATGACAGAACTAAACATATTGAATTTGATAGACACTTTATCTCTGAAAAGGTTAATGGTGGAATTATACAACTAAGATAATTTCCGGCACACTAGAAAGTTGTTGATGTCTTTACCAAAGCTTTTCATTTAGGCACCTTCTTAGAGTTTAATACCAAGCTTGGTCTCTACAACATCTACGACCTAGCTTGAGGGGGAGTGTAGAAAGCTGAGAAGTTCGGCTCCTCTCCATGGTGGGCCGGCTGTTTGCTTCACAAAATCATGGAAATATTTGATTGTAGATATTTTTGGGAGCACATTTCTTAATTTTATTCCCTTCCTATTTTTTTTTTCTTTACTTTTTTTATTTCAAAATTATTTCTTTTCTGATAAGCATTGTATATGTACTCTACATGTGAATAATGAAGTGAAATAGTTTTCCCTCTCCAAATCTATTTTCAGCACTTTGATATATATGATAACAGGTTCTTTTACTAGACTATTATCTAAGAAGGTCACCTTGATATTTTCTAATATTTTATAATGGTTCTTCTTATCTTTAGACAAAATGGTGCCCAGCTCCAGGATGCGAGTTTGCTGTGGAGTTCGTTATGGGTAGTAGCAGCTACGATGTTACTTGCAATTGTTCGTACAGTTTTTGTTGGAATGTTAGTTCGAAAGGCTTTACTGCTTTTGATTATATCAATTATATTTTTTTTATGAAAGAAAAAATAATTGTAGATTTCTTTTTATTCGAGTTGGAATCTTGCAGTGTACTGAGGAAGCTCATCGGCCAGTGGATTGTGCCACTGTTGCAAAGTGGATACTGAAGAACTGTGCAGAATCTGAAAACATGAATTGGTAGGTTTCCATACACTTCTTTACTGATTTTAGATATGTTTACAGTCATATACATGATTGTGCCTTTAAATTTTCAATCCACTGGTCCATTAAAATGGAAGTTCTTAAAGAAACTATGCTTTAAATAAGTGGATGGATGTATCATAATCTCTTAACAGAGGAAAATACAGTATTGTTTCTTCTCACTGATTATTAAGAATGCACAACTTGGAAGGTGAGCTGGTCTATTTATAAATTTTAAACCTGAAATGAAATCGTTTGCTGCTTGATAATATTTTAAATCTTTTTTGAGCCAAGCACAATTAAATAAACTAGCAGCTACTCTTCATAATTAAATTTTGTGCATATTATCACCATCTTTCATAATATCTGATAATGAACTGCTAGTTATTCTTTGTCGTATTTTTTGATTTAATGTTAAACTATGTTTATCATGATTACTATATGATTAATTATTTTATATGATAGTCTTTTAAGTGGAAACAAAACACCTATTGAAAATTCTCAATCTGTGGAAATCTATTTAACCTCTTTTATAATCATTTTACCATACTTGGTTCTCCACTGTCTTTTCTATCATCTAAACCTTCTCATTTTGTGTCACTCTCTGGTTGGAACATGACTTTTGTTACCTAAAATTGGATGAATTGATTTTATACATTTGCAACACTTAATAGGAATGAGTAGATATGTTGGCACTCTTTGGAATTAGGCTATCGATGATGGAATTTTCGGAAATCTTCTTAATGAAATTGATTGATTTTACTTTCGCAAGAGTAGATATGTTGATGCCTAAGTTGTTAGTATATGTAAGAACTGATATCATTGCATCTAATGTATTGGAAGAGTATGCCTTTGAATTATTTTTGGAATTATTATTTTTCAGAAAAATGTCAAGTCTTTGGTGGTACTTTTGTAACTTCGTGATTTTTGTTAGTGTGTCACTGATGATTTATTATTAGTACTATTATTATTATGTTGTCTCACTGATGATTATCTACTGTTATTTGTGATGAAAATTTTAGCTTTTTTTTTGTTTTTGTTTTTTTGTTGCATTCTACTCGTGGTATTACTTACTAATATTTTTATTTTTGGAAGATTTACATTCATACCAGTCAATTCTTATATATTTACATATCTAACACCTAAACTTACAATTTTTACATATATGCCTTCTTACCTATCCATGGAAAGTTGTTTTATTTACTGTTATTTGTGATGAAAAATTTAGTTTTCTCTACTCATGGTTTTACTTAACTAATATTTTTATTTTGGAAAAATTTACATACATACCACTCAATTCTTATGTATTTACATACCTAACACCTAAACATTCAATTTTTACATATATTCCACCTTATCTATGCATGAAAAGGTGTATTCCGCTCTTTAAAAGCTAAAATAGTTAGTATTTTTGATGTGATACGAACAATTTGGGTGTTATGTAAAAGGCAAAATGTTGTGTTAGATATGTAAATAGATAGGAATTGGGTGGTATGCATGTAAATGCTCGTTCTAATTTTTACATCTGAAATTCTATATCTTCATTCCTGCAAGGTTTCCCTAGTCCTGCCATTATTTAGAGAACTGTTTTTCGTAAGGTTTATGAACTGTCATTCTTCTCCCGTCCAATACTTAAACAAAGCAGGCGGCAGTTTTGGTTCAGTTATGCTGCATGGTTTAATTGGCATAACAGAAGATTTATGCTTGATTTGATAACAACTAAATAGTTATTTTTTTGTATGCTCACAGCTGTTTGCAAAAGTAGCTATAAAATTATTATGGAGAAAAAAAAATTTTATGAAAGCTATTGTAAGGATGATGATATTTTTCCTTTCAAAGAAGTTAGATGTTTTTATATGCCGACAATCTGTTGTTCCAGTTAGGAGAGTAGATATTTAAATTAGATTTATGTCGAGGAAGGTAGGGGTAGTCCTAAAAAGACTTGGGCATGTTGTATATAAAATGATCTTATTTTATTAAAACTAAATAAAAATATGAAACTCAATAAGACAAAATGGAGAAAAAGAATCTATGTAGCCAATCACATTTAGTGTAGTAAAGGCTTCTTTTTTTCGTTTTTTTCAAAAGTTAGATAATAATTTTTCTTTCAACTTCTACATTCAGCAAATCTAGTTGTAAAAAGTTAAATTTCTGAAAGTAACAAGTTGCTGCTTTGGTGAGAAAGCTGCCAAAAGCAGACCCCACATCTGATGGTTTGCAATGTTGTTGATCTTTGATTTGAATTGTGTGTATCAGACTATAACTTGAAAGTTTATCTGTCTATTCAATTTTGTAAGAGGAATATACACATTTGCCTGGGTTTTTTACCCCTGGTCTATTTTTTGTGCATTCTTACTTGTGGTTCACTTTGGCAAAAGATTGAGGATCATCCTTCTTAATTCTTATTTTTGGCAATGCTGCAGCACTTCTGTGGTTCTACTCCCTTCCACGTTTGCAGAAGTGCTACTGTTTAGCTATTTCCTCAATAGAGTTCTTACGTGCATCATTTGGAATTGCGTGAGCAAAATGTTGTAGTCTGTTTTTTATCTTTTTCACAGGAATTTTTTTTTTTGGAATAGCGAAAAGTGACTAATTAATATTTAAAATTTGCTTATACTGCTGCATTAATAATTTTCTTTCTTTATTTTATGCATGCACAACATATGTGCTTGGGCTTGTGCTTGTGCTGGGGTGGATGAATTTTTTAAAGTGCTGTTATACTTGACTACTTCATTGGTCTATATACATATCAGACTTTTTAAATCATTATCATTTATTTTTAATTTACTTTTGTCCATCATACTTTAGAGAGTATGAATATGCTTGTGAAAGTCGATGTTCCTTTTGTAATGTTAAAAACAATGAGTTTCATGGGTTTTGATGCAATGGAAAATTTTGATTTGCTTTTGGGCGCTCAGTTTGCTATAAGATTCTACTGTGATCTGTGCTGGCTGAGGTGAGAGTGTATAAAAGATTGTTTACCTAGTTCTTATTTCAAATTTTTTAGTAAGTTTTTTTTTTTGTTTTTGTTTTTTGCCGTTACAACTCTTTTTTTGATGGTTGAAGTATTGCACTTCGCTCTATGCTCTTGGCATCTCTCGGGCACAGGATTCCTCAATGTTCTCTGATCTGATTATTTCCATCTAAAACTAATGCACTTTGAACAAGTTGAAGATTACTCGTGCTATTTCACAATCCAATATCATATCCATGTCTCCCGTATAGCCTTCTGAATTGATTTTTTTTAATTGTCTTTTTTGTTATATACTTCACCCAGGATATTGGCCAACTCAAAACCTTGTCCAAGATGTAAGAGACCGATTGAGAAAAACCAGGGATGTATGCATATTACATGCACACCTCCGTGTAAATTTGAATTTTGTTGGTAAATATTTTCGAACTTTGGGCGTGAATTTCTTTTTTTTTTTCTTTTTTAATGTTTGCATTTATGTACCTTTTGAGATGCAGCTTTTTAGATTTTTATTCTCTAATTGTTTTTGGAAAATTTTCAGGCTGTGCCTAGGTGCATGGTCGGAACATGGGGAAAGGACTGGCGGTTTTTATGCATGTAATCGCTATGAAGCAGCAAGGCAGGAGGGAGCAGTATGTTTACGCCAGCCACTTTGTTAATTGTTGTTAGTTATGCATGGCTATGAAGCTTTTGCATTTTTTATCACATTTTTTCTATTTAATTCGTTTCAGTATGATGAGTCTGAAAGGAGGAGAGAAATGGCTAAAAATTCTCTGGAAAGATACACTCATTACTATGAAAGATGGGCTACAAATCAATCTGTATGTGAAGTTTTCTGTTCATTTTTATAATTTTTTGTCACCTTTTTTCTTGGCATCATTTGGCTGCTGAATTTGTTAATGCCATGTTGAATTGAAAGTATTCCCATTTATTATCTCTACCTTGCATCAAAAAGTTTGTGTGAGTTATTGTTGAAAATTCTTAGTAAATTCTTTGTTATTGTCTTTGCTAAATGTGTGGTCATGATGATATTTAAACAATTCTGTTTTGCACATTTATCTTGTATGTTTGATGTAGATTCATTTGTAAATAAAAGGTTGCCTGAGTTGTGATGAAAATAATTTTCATAGTCTTGTTTAGTAATATGTTAATAGAGTATGAAGATATCTTCTTTCCTTTTCTTATTTAACAATGCGAATTAAAGCAAAATATTAAGATTGGGCATGTTTTGTTTAAATGATCTCTTGTATAGAGACTACATAAGAACATTCTTATTACTTTTTGAGAACATTTTTACAGTTACTCAAACTTTCCATTTGTATTTTATTTCACGATATTGAAGTTCAACACATTGTACTTCATATATTTTGCTACTTTTTGGATGATTTGTAAGAAAGTGATCTGATAGATTTTTATGAGATAATAGCATGCTGCGTTTTTATGAGATAATAGCATGCTATGTCTGCTTTTAATTAATATTCATTTCATTTAAATGGCCTTTAGTGAGAAAAATGTGTTGCTCATGTCTTTTTCTTCCTTTCACATTGGTAGTGTGCAATCCAAAAGTGATCATAATTGAGCCAGGTGCGCCAGTTATAGAACTTATTTTTATGTCCAAACTTAAGCCTATAGGAGAGGGCCAGTCATTCGACATTTCTACACCAATATATTGTTAAAACTATTTCATATGTGGGTTAAAGGCACTACTTAGTCACTCCTGTACCTTAGCACTATTCTCTCACTTCCGAGCTCTGCATTTGGATTTCACCCAGACACATTCTTTTTTAATATTAAGTATCATGCAGGAAGATCCTATTCAATCATGTAGATTAGTCATGGGATTCATTTGTTATCGAGCATTATGCAACCATTATGTTGAAGGAATCAAAGATCCATATGAGGCATAATTAACATTAATCATTCTATCTCAATTGAATAATTAGTTGTGATACAAATTGTTAGGGAGATTAAAATAGAGGGCCAAAGTTGTGTCAGATTTGCCAGTGATCAAATTGATTTTCAACCCAAATGTGAAGACTAATTGGAGTGGGCCAACTGTTTGATTTGTTTATACCAACATATTTTAAAATTGTTAGATATGAGATTATACTCAATACTCTTATGCACCTTCACAAAATTATTTAGTGTAGGGGCTATTGGGGTAAAACCAATTATTTATTTATTTTTGGATGAAATCTTGTTTGAACATTGCTTGATGCTAATTTATAGTTTTGGATAGATTAAAGTAAAATTTTGAATATGTTTTTTTTTTAATTCTTATAAGTAGAAAATTAAAAGATTTGTTTGTGTCGAAGGAGTTAGGAGCCATAATTTTGTATTTTTTTTTACAAGGTAGATAATCTGCTTACTATGAGTGAAAAAGGCAAATTCCTTTTGTGGAATTTGAAAATGTCTTGTGGACGTCTAATTCTTACTGTTATTGTGGCTGCTGCTGGTTTTATGTGTCATTATGTTTGCCCATGGTTAATTCCTTTGTGTAAAAATTTGTTTTTTATTAATTTGTTTTAGAGTATATTGAAAAATACAATGACTAAAATATTTAAGATTGAGAATTCTGATGACATATAAATATTGGGCTTACAAAAACTGAGACACGTGGTGTTTTAGTCTAGTAAGGACTTGTGAAAAAACTCATGGGTTTAAATATGTAGACTATGAAGAAGACCAAACAATGTGGGGGATTTGATGGATGAAGCTAGGATGAATGTCTTCGAAAAAACCCTCTCATGTGTTGTAGCACAATTTAAAGTTTTTTTTACATGAGTATAAGTTTCTCAATAAGTTTTGTCGCAAGCACAGTTATAATTGCCTTGCATGCATAACGATACATTCTTTAAATAATATCCTAATTAGTTTAATTTTATTATTAGCTATTTAAAGGATATTGATAATGAAGAGCAAACATTATTATTAATGTGCTATTCATCTTTCACTTCTAATTATTTTTATGATCCCATATTGTATAGAGGAGATAATTTGCCTGAAGCTGCCATGTTTTTTGTAATGGATACTATTGCTAAGCTTAAGGTTCTAAGATATGAAAAATTTATTTGGGGGCGTGATTTGCTTCTATTGTAAGAAAATGGGGTATATCTTCAAATATTGTCATGCTTTCAAGTTAAAGGAACATATGCAAATGATAACTGCAAGATGGGGTCAGGTGTTGCTGGTGGGGTTATGCCTCAAGTTGAATTCTTTGGATATAACGAAAACCTTGTTAAACTATATTAGAAGTAAAGATTATCCTTGGTATGCAGGTAGAAAGGTAGGCCCATCAAATCACATTTTAAGACCTTTATTTATTTATTGCTTAGGATTTGATGAATATTAATGTGAGACAATGATGTTCTAGCTTTGTTTCTATTGTAATATTTACCATATTTTATAAGCATTTTGGTGACATTATGTTATGTGAATGACATACAGTCAACTCAAATGATTTCTAAAGTTACTTTTAAATGAGATATTATTGTTAAGCTTGAGCGTGTAGTTGGTGAAAATTCCACTAACGGCCTACAAGGTTAGCGTAGGTCTTTTGAGGAAAGTTTTAACTTTAATCAATGATAGAAGTTAGCCTTGTGGAAACTGTTAGGAAGCAGCCTTCTTCTATTTGAAGAGAAGGCACAATTAAGAATGGTTATCATGCTTTGCTGAGGAATGAGTGGCATGAGAATGACAGTCATAAGTAGAAAATAAATGCTACTACTGCTACAAATCGGTCTAACGATGATGATGTATTTTTCTATAGATATAGAGATGTCATGCATCATTTAAGGGAGCTTTGAAGTCTGTGGTTTCTTTTTCTGATCCTCTTTCTTTCTCTCTTTACTTTAGATTTCTTTTGTTTTTCTTGAAAGATTTAAAACTTGTATATATTGCTATATTGGGTGTACTTAGGTTTGGATGAGAGTTTGTTCTTAGGCCCTTCCAGTTTTACATATTTACGACTACTTTATAGTGTGGATTGGATCCTCTTTTAATTTTCTTTCCCCCATGTATGTAGACTTGTTTTTTGCCAAACCACACAAATATTAATTTTGCCGTACTTGATCGGTTTTGTGATTGTTTTGTGGTTGTTGTATTCACTTCTAGCTGATCCTTTTATCCAAACCACACAAATATTGATTTTACCGTGTTTGACATATTTCGTAATTATTTTGTATTCATTGTGTTCACCTCTAGTTGATTCTTAAACAGGGGTGCAAATTAGTCAAGTCAAGCTGAAGTCACCCTTGGCTTGAACTTGAGCTTTATTAAAGATTCAATTTTGAGTTTGAGCTCGATCTCGCTTAATTTTACAAGTTTGAACTTGCTTGTTTATTATGAAAAAAAAATATTAATTCAAGTAATATTATAATAAAACGACTAATAAAATTATGATTTAAAAGATAATTAATAAGAAATTACTTGATATCAAATTTTTAAAATATCAAAATTTTAAGTATTTTTAATAATTTGAATATAAAATCTTGAAATTTAATATATTAGGTCTATTTTTATATTAATTATTTTTAAACGAGCTGGCTCATGGGCTAACTTGTTGAGCTAAGTTGGATTGAGCTTGGCTTGTTAGTTCGTCGAACTGAGCCCAACGACTTGTCTCTGTTACACCCCTACTAACACATAATAGATTGGTGTTTTTCCTAACACTTCCGTATCCATCCTGTTGGATTTGGCAGCTGTTATCACCAATTTCTGGTGAGATGGCTGTTTTTGCACCTAGCATACGTTTGTTTCCGATTGCATTCAACACCTGATATCAGTGAGAAAGCTAGACCGTTTGGTAGAGATGAAACAAATGGATTAAGGAGTTTCACTATTTGTTTTCCATAAACAAGCAAGGCTCGTAACTGTGAAGTGCAACTATTTTACAGAAACAAGCAAGGCTCGTTACTGTGAAGTGCAAACTATGGGATGCTCAAATTTGTTGAGATGTTCTATAAACTAAAATATAGAGTTTCTAGTAATAAATATGTATCCTTTTGTTGTTTGAGGTTTGGTATGATTCCAGTTTCTCAAATTTAGTTCTATAGGGGCATTGTTCATGTTTCTGTTCAACTTTTTTATGCATGTTAATTAAAGTAGAAAACATAGAAAGAAAATTTTCCTGTCATTGCAAGAAAAATCGCGAGTTTCGTTCCGGTGAATGAAATTATTAAGTGAGTCATACTTTGATGTCCATCTTTCCATGCCAGCTTTTATCATTTTGCTTATTTTGAAGTCACAAGGGAATTCTTCGATATTGTTCAAATCATATTATTTTTTTTTCTTTGAGATGAAAATATTTCTTCTTTCAGAGTTCTTAGCTATGGATTTAAAGCATTATATTGTAATTTAATAGGCATGGTCTGTATTTTGACGTTATTTGGCTCAGCTAAATTAGGTAATTGTTTTTGTTTAAATTGATGTTTTTTTTAGACTCTCGTGCTAATTTGTTTGTTTTCTCATTGGCAGTCTCGACAGAAGGCACTCGCAGATCTGCATAGTATGCAAATGGAAAAGGTATTGCATGCATTTCTTTCTAAAAGGTCTATGCAGCTTAGCAAGGGGAGTGATTGTATTTTGGAGCTTTCATGATGACTGGCTACAGAAAATGTATAAATATGAATAGAATGGTGGAACCGTGGAACTGCTACCTTTTAAGTTTTTCATGGATATATTAACTCATGAGTCCTATTCACATTGCGGTTAATGGGTTTTAAAACGAAAAAAGTGTCAAAATGATCCTCTAACTCTTTGCAAGTTTCATTTTAGTCCCTTAGTTTATAAAAGTGTCAATTTAGTTCTAGTGAGGGCTAATTTAGCCTTCATTAAAAAATTCTAGAGACTAATTTAGCTACTGTATAAAATTTAGGACTAAAATGACACCATAAAAATAGTAAGGGGACTTTTTTAACGCTATCCTCTTTTTAAAACCATCAGTGATTCTTGCTTCACTTGTGTGACTGCATGCTTAAGGATCTACTTCTAATACCTTTGAGGATGTTGGTGTATTTTGCATCAAAATTTGGTTTGCAAAATATTACAAAAACAAATGTCTTGCTAATCTGCTAGGGAAGGATATCAATGCCTTTTAATCATTCATATAAAGTATTGTTATTCCTTTTATCCATCCGTTGATACTAGGATCTTCTTAGGAATGCTAGCTCTCTTTTGTGTACATATTGCCGGCTTCTTGACAAATTTTTTTTTATTATTTTTTACGGTGTTATAACGAATGTAATTTGTTGACCGTATGATGGCCATTCCTTGCCATCTTAATTTAATCTTTTTTATTTGTTTTCCTGAATAATTGTAGCTCGAGAAATTGAGTGATAGACAAAGTCAACCAGAGTCACAGCTCAAGTTTATAATTGAGGCTTGGCTACAGGTCAGTACGAACTTTTTATACTATTATTCCTATTCACTGATTGTTTTCCTGTGTTCTCCGGTTTGTGCCAAACCATTAAACAAATTTCTCATTGAACTCCTTTTACAGATTGTAGAGTGCAGGAGAGTTCTGAAATGGACTTATGCATATGGTTATTACCTTCCCGAGCATGAACATGCAAAGCGGCAGTTTTTTGAGTATTTACAAGGTTCATAATATTCTGTGTGTGTGTGTGTGTAGTTTGAAACAAAACTAAAACTTTTAGTTCTTTAGGTGAGGCGGAAGCTGGTTTGGAGCGTCTTCATCAGTGTGCCGAGAAGGAACTCCTTGTTTATCTAGAAGCAGAAGCTCCCATGAAAGATTTCAATGATTTCCGCACCAAACTTGCCGGGCTTACTAGGTTTTGTCCTCATCCCAAAGCTGGCCTTTGCAAGTCCTGCATGATGGTAGAATGACTTGATTAGAGTTGTCAAATCGGTTTCATGTGTCGGGTTAGGTTCTGACCTGAAATGACCAGCACCCAACCCGAAAATTAAAATGGCAGAAAGTCTAACCTGAACCTGACCTTTCTTCAACTTGCCTACCCAAACCTGACCCGTATAACTCATTTAATATAAAGATATAACAGCTATTTGGGTCACTTTTGGTTCAAATTTGTGTCGATTCTGAGTTTAAGGGTTGATTGAGTCAATATTAGGTTGGTCAGTTTCAGGTTGGCAGGTCAACCGAGATAGAGCCTAATAATTAAGTATGTTAGGATTGTTAAAACCTGAACTCAACCCGAAAATATTCAGGTCAATTTGAATACTGGAGTTTTCTGGTCTAATTCTGGTGCCGGCTCAATTTTTAACACCTTTAGATTTGACCATTATTTATTTCTCTTCCAGTGTGACCCGAAACTATTTCGAGAATCTTGTTCGAGCCTTGGAGACTGGGCTGAAGGATGTGGGGCCGTCCAGTAATCAGGCTACATGTAGCAAGAGTTCAAGCTCAAAAAACCTCGTAGGGGGAAAGGGGAGCAAGGTGGGAAAGGCGAAGGCAACAGTGGCGAGCTCCAGGTCAGGTGGCCGTTCTTTGGATGACGGAAATCTTTGGTCTTGTGAGCACTGTACCTATGCTAACCCAAGATCTGCAAACACGTGCCAGATGTGCGAACAGCACCGGTAGTTAGGGGACCGGTTATCGATATTATTTTTCTGTTGTAAAGGAAACGCTCATCCACCTCCCCATTATTTGTTCCTAATGGCTGTTAAAGTTGTGATTGCCATCCCTGTGGTGAAAAAGGGTATAAGAAAGCAGTTATTATGGGAAAGGAGGCGAAAGATCTCATGTATTATAGGGTGTCCATCAAATGTTTGATTACTTCCATTCACCTGTACAGAAAATATTTATATGGGCATATAGGCTGCTTTGGTGTCTTATTTCCAGTAAGGGTTTATTTGGCCTCGTAGCAATTTTAGCTTTAAAATTGGTGACTTTATCGGTAGTACTTGTTTTTGCGGAGAAAGCTCATGACTAAAGGGAGGAGTGCATTGTCTTAGTCTAATTTTAGAATTGTATTGTCCATGAACATGAAATTATGAAGTATTTATGTAGTTGAGAATCCTTTGTAATCGTGCTTTCTACATTTTGTACATCATTTGTGTGATGGTGGTCTAGCAAATTTGCGGTTGTAAAATAGAGAATTAAGAGGCCATTTGGGATAATTTTTTTATTATTGTTTACGGTTTGATTTGAAATAAAATATGTTTAATGTGTTGGCATGACAATATATGTTTAGCTGTTTTTAAAAATATTTAAAATATTTTAAAATTATTTTGAGTCGTTTTTAAATGCAATTTAATTATTTTTAAGTTGTATAAAAAAGTTAAAACAACATTAATGAGCCTTTATACCATTAAGTGAGGTAGGCTGCATGATTGTTTTTCTTCATTGCGTCCTATGAGCCATTTTTTATTTCTTTCTAATAAATTAGGATCAAACACAGGATAAATATGTTTTTAAAAATAGATAAAGATGTAAAAATAAAATTAAAAATTAAAAGTAGATGTTATGTTAAGTTGCACTGAAATTTTTTATAAGAAAAATAAGATGAAATCTTGTTTGAATCTCTGTTGTTTTTTTTTTATTTTAATAAATGCATCTCCATTCTCTGCTGTTTAACAATGGGAATGTTCAACAGATGCAATGCATTTTATTACTATAAAATTTGATTTTTGACTGTATAAAGCATATGTATAAGAGTAGCAATTATTTTTAATAAGTTAAATGTAAATTTTAGATTATGTTATGTTGATTATAATGTAACTAGGTTGCATCTCACCATTTTCATTTAGAAACCAACAGTTATTAATATTTCCAATGCTTCATTTCTTTAAAATATCTAAAAAATATGCCGCTAACAATGTATGATATTTGATAGCTTCGTATAGAAATCGAAGAAATATCACAATAATTGATAGATATTGTATTTTCATTGTTAAATTTTTCATCCAACTAGACAGAAAATAAGAATTACTACAAAAATAAGTTATATTGCAGCACAAGAAGAGAGTTTTGTGCCACTCCACTCCATCATCGTTCTGATATCTGTAACTTATTTACGCAAGTTTTATCTAACCTTTTTCTAGCACGAAGCATGCAGTCTTTAACACGGGTGTATTTCAGAGTGGGCCACAATGTCTTTTGAATTGTTGATCAATTGAAGACCATTTATCTATCAAATATAATTTCAATCTTCAAATATTTTATTATTTAATGATGTTTTATGTGAAATTGTAATTTTTGTGCTAATGATATTCTTAATACCCTTAGATTTTAATAATGTTGTTGGATACATCTATAAATAGGAATATGCATATTTTTGTTGGAAAGCCTTTTTTATTATTTTTTTTAATGACACTAGTTGAATATACTCATTGAACATGTCGTTTTAGAGGGCGTAAGTTAAATAGGATTTAGTAAATCTGGTAAATATGAATTTATCAAATAAAATATTATTTGGTTCAGTTAATGTTAAATCCAGTTAAATTCGTTTTACGTGTTTAGTCTTTTAATGTCAATTCTACAATGTGTTTTCTTCATATTAAATTTGTTAAATTTACTTAAAAATGAGATTAAGTAAATTCATACTGAAGACAAAACAAAGAGAAATTGAATTTAGCAGAGCGCGGATTTAGCATCCATCTTTTTCATGCTTAGCCGTATTTACATTGAATTCAATGTAATTCCTATTAAAAATATACTACCAAACACCCCATTAGACTTGTCACAAAGATTTCTAATAATATAACCTAATAAAAAAATATCTTGTTAAATTTTTAAATCTAGAAAAAGAATAAGCTCTTGTTGATATAGAATTTTGTATTTTTTTAACAATAATAAAATAAAAACGTTCATCCTACAATCTTAAAATTAACAAGATAAGTTTTAGCATGAGTTGAGCTGGAATTTATTTACTCTTGTAAAATTTTAGTAACATAAAGTTATTTTAAGATCAGCAGAACTTAAGCACTCTTGCTAAAAGCTTTATTTTTTCTATTGTTAACACATTTAGTGTTATGAACAAGCATGTGTAAGAACCATCAAATCAATGTTTTAATGTTTTGCCAATTTCAAACCACATAATATCTTGGGAACTCATTTGTAGTCCAAATAAGTAATTTTGATGGAAAATTTTGATCTAAAAGTGTTTCAACTTAAACTCTCACCCTTTTATTCTTGGAGACTCTCTTTAGCATGAAGAAAAAGACCAATGAGGCTCCCACAAATTATTCTAACTTCAACCCCCTGATCAATTTGAACTTCAATAATTGCAGTGCATTCTAGATATTTGTCTACTTATTAAGGCATCTAGTTGACAAATGTAGTGTTATATGGTTTGTTGGGTTCTCAAAAAAATATTAACCAATCCCCTCTCTCCTATTAGGAGAAGCTTGTTCTCAATGACCCTACTATGTTGTCTACACTATTGCCTTCAAATTTTTATTTCACAGTAAAATTGGGCATCCTCTCGAATTTAATGTAAAAATGACTAATTAGAGTATTGATTTTAATTAACAAGAATATTTTCATATAAAAATTTCTTATATTTATGAATCTTTGATCAAACTTAAGGCTTATAATCTTTCTATCAGTTACTTCAAGCAACAATGACAATAAATAAAATATGTCGATGCCCTGATTATTATTAATTCCTCTCTTATCCAATATCTTAAGTTGATGGTTAACCTACTGATACTATCATCTTTGCTCATCTCTTCATGTTTGACTCTTACTCTTTTCCCCAACTGCTATGAGACTTAAATATGCCTTAATTTTAAAAGGTTCTACCATAAATGCTTTTATAACCTAGTTCTCCTCATACTTTATTTTTCTTTGACTAAGGAATGGCCCATAGATAAATTTTAGGTTATTATATAACTTGTGTTAATATAGTCCTTATTTATGGAGCTTACATTGACATGAGCCATCTCTTTTTGGAGCTCCTTCTATGTTAGTTATTTTTTTCAGGCTCTTTCTATTTAGCTCGGTGATTTCTCTATTCCCTTAGATCTTCCCTTGAATTATTTGATTTTGGTCATTTTTCCCCTCATGTCGACTAATCCTATAGATCAATCCAACTTTTCTCTAGCTGTAGCAACCATGATGACAATTTTGTAACTTCCAACCTATTCTCTATTATTTGGTCGAACATTCTTAGTGGCTTTCCCAACTCCATTTTTTTTAGCTTCAACTTTGGTAGCTAATGCTTCTAACATGGATACTTTTTAGCTTTTGCTAATATGGTGGCTAGTTTGAAGTTCTTCATTATTATGAGCTAGCAAGTCCTATAATGGTCAATCTCAAAAGCTCCTTGACCCTATCAATATCACTTTCTTTCAATGAGTTATTAATTAAATTTCAATATCTTATTGGCAATTAGTAGACCTCCCTCTTAATTTTTTTTTGAAAATAATTAGTTTCCAAAATGCAAACTAATAAATAAGATTATATTGCACCATTATTTTTTGCTAGTGGATTGAGTAGATGGACATCCTCTATCACATATTGTTGGTTGGTAAATTCTTAGTCTGGAGACTTCATTAGCAATCACTGGAAAAATTTTTAAAGTATCATTGCTCTTAAGGTAGTTTCATCTTTTCCTTGTTGAACCCCAAGAATGTCTTACTAAATTTTAAGATAATAAAATGTTATGCTAGGATGTATTTATAAAGAAATAGTAATTATTAAGGGGCTCATCATAAGAGAGAGTAAATTTTCACTTGATTATAATATTTTTCTAGAATGTCCTAATGGCTCCTTTCAATCAAACACAAATGACTAGATTACTCTTCCTTATCTTAAAGATCAATGATTTGTCCCTTTATTATCCTTACATTAGCTTCACTTTTTAGTAAATATTTCACACATATGCACCAACTGTGCCACTCTTTAGAAAATCTATTGCAAGTTTTTTCATCAATGTTTATGTATCTCAACAATTTATTAATTTTTGTTTGGATTTAGACAAATGATGATGATAGGTTTTGTAACAATTATAAGTTATATAAACATGAGCTCTCATTGTGTAGATGATTTAATATCATCTTGGACAACACTCTCTTTTAGAAAACTAACATTACCTTCACACTTCTTGATCATACTATATTAGAGGTTCTTACAAATTTATTTTTTATAATATATCCACTTATTCTTTATAACTTATACTCCATCATTAGAGCCCCATATGACAACTCAATGACCAAAAAATGTCAAATTTTTATTGAGCATTTTTTGGATATAAATAATCAAATTCTAATTAATATTTAGGGATATTAAAAAGTTGAGATTAAACAAGCATAATGTTTATTCGTGTTTGGTTTGTACAGAACTCTGTTTATTAAAATTGAGCTTGTGTTCAAAATAATTTGTTAATTTGATGTTTGAGTTCAATTTATATTACATTTAATTTAATTGGAATGAGCACATTTACCTTAATTTTAAGAGAAGTTATAATTTTTATTTAAAAAATTACACAATGATGAATAAACAATAAATTTTAATTAGTTTTTAATTTAAGAAAATATAATTATACACAAATTTCTAACTCAAACTGTAAGAAAAAAAAAATCTATATTACAAAATTACAATTGAAAGTCTAATTCAATCCAATTTGATATTCTCTACTATCTCATATGTATCCTCATTCAACTTTGAATGTGAACATCATTGA